GGCTCAGACCACCAGACATGGCATGGAGTCCCAGGGAGGAATGGAGTTGGAAACAGCAACAGCAATGGTCACTTACTACTGAAGACTTATGTGTCTCATGACCTTCTCATCACCAACACTGTCTTCTGTTCACCTAAATGCAATAAAACTTTGTGTATGCACTCTGGAAGCAAACATTGGCATTTAATAGACTATGTGATTGTAATGAGAAGAGACAGACGGGATGCAAGAGTGACAGAAGCAACATGTGGTGTAAAGTGCTGGACTGATCATAGACTTATCCTCTCCCGAGCTAAATATTCACATTCAACAAAAGCGGTGGCCCCAAGGCAGGATGACTACCAGAATAATTAATGTCAACAGATTAGAGTGCTTCTCTGAGCAGAAACAGTTGGCTGCTAGCTTGGAGGGAAGGTTGAGCCAACACACAGTTGGCAACAATGGAGCGGAAAGGGGGTGGGCAGCTTTCAGAGATTTGGTGTACAGCACCATATTGGCTCATCTGGGTCAGAACACCCACAAACATCGAGACCCGTATTACGAAGATGATGGGAAAAATCAGAAGCTGCTAAATGTAAAACGAGAACTCCTCAAGGTTTACCAGCAGGATAGTTCATCCATCTCTAAGAATTCACCATTTAATTCCATCAAAAGTAAAGTACAAGTGAAGCTTAGAGAGATGCAGGATTCTTGGTTCAGTAAGAAGGCAGTTGAAATTCAGTTTTACACTGATAGTAGCAATGCAAAGTGCTTTTATGATGCCTTAAAGGCTACTCATGGGCCAAAGACATATGGTGCATCTCAGCTACTCAGCGCTGATGGAGCCACATTGATCAGTGATAAGGACCAGATCCTAGAGAGATGGACTGAACACTTCCATGGTGTTCTCAACAGACCATCATCAATCAGCGCCGAGGCCATTGACCAGTTACCTCAGGTTGAAGTCGGTCCCTCCCTAGCTGAAGTTCCAACTGAAGAAAAGGTTTTGAATTACATTAGGCTCCTCTTGTGGAGAAAAGCTCCTGGTGCTGATTCTATTCCAGCTGAGATCTACAAGGCAGGGGTCCCCTGCTCATACGAAAGCTGATGGACACTTTTCAAGTTATATGGCAAGAGGAGTTTATCCCACAGGAGTTCAAGGATGCCTCCGTTGTCCATCTCTTTAAAGATAAAGGGAAATAGATTGTCCTGTGACCATCACGGGGGGGATCTCTCTCTTAGTCATTGCTGGCAAGATTCTTGCTAGAGTCCTCCTCAGTAGGCTGATCCTTCTCCTGCAAAATGGTCATCTACCTAAGAGTCAGTGTGGCTTCAGAAAGGGCCAAGGAACAGTTGATATGGTGTTTGCTGCCCGATAACTCCAGGAGAAATGCCAAGAGCAGAACAGAGGCCTGTAATCAACACATGTAGATCTGACCGAGGCCTTTGAGGGCTTATGGAAAATTATATCAAAATTTGGTGGCCTGGAGAAGTTTAAAAGCATTATATGTCAATTTCGTGATGGCATTCTTGCCCAAGTTCTAGGTAAGGAACGATATTCTCACACTTTCCCAGTCACCAGTGGAGTGAAAAAAGGCTGTGTGCTTGCTCCCATGCTTTTTAGCATGATGTTTTCAGCCATGTTGTCAGATGCCTTCAATGAGGATGAACACAGTATCAAGGTCAGCTGCCTCACTGATGGTAAGTTCTTCAACTTGAAAAGGCTACAAGCCAAGACTAAAGTGAAGGGAGTGTTGGTGCATGATTTTCTGTTTGCAGATGGTTGTGCACTTAATGCAACCTCTGAAGCTGAGATGCAACAAAGTATAGATCGATTCTCTGCTGCTTGCACTAATTTTGGCCTAATATTTAACACCAAGAAAACACAGGTGTTCCATCAGCCAGCACCACACCATCTATACATAACCATCAGTCACAGCAAATGGAGAAATATTGAATGCTGTGGGTAAGTTCACTTACCTTGGCAGTATATTTTCTAGGAACGAACACTTTGATAATGAGATTGACCCATGCATTGCCAGAGCCAGCTCAGTGTTTGGGAGGCTCCAAAGGAAAGTGTAGGAGAGAAGAGGTATTAGACTGACTACCAGACTGAAGGTCTACAGAGCCATTGTGCTGACCTCCCCGTTGTATGCCTGTGAACCCTAGGCAGTCTAGCAGGGCCATGCCAGGAAACGGCATCGCTTCCGTCTGAATTGTTTTAGGAAGGCTCTGAAGATCACCTGGCAGGAGAAGGTGCCAGACTCTAAGGTCCTTTCTGGAGCTAAACCACCAGGCATTCAAACTCTACTGCAGAGAGCAACACTCCAATGGGCTGGCCATGTTCAAATGCCAAATGTATGCTTTCCAAAAGGACTTATTTTACGGACAACTCACCCAAGCCAGGTGCTCATACACAGGTCAGAAACAATACAAAGACACTCTCAAAGTTTCTCTTAAGGACTCTGGAATTCATCGTGTGACATGGGAGACGCCGGCACGAGACCGCCGAGCATGGCATGCCCTCATCAGAGAAGGCAAGGTACTTTGTGAACAAAACAGAATTGTAGTTCAAAACAAAGGTGAGACGTGCGACTTAAGAGACTCTACTAGTACCTGACCTGTGGTAGAGCCTTCCAAGTTTGTACTGGTCTGATCAGCCACAGTTGGACTCTAACATGGCGATATCACTTTGGTCCTCTTCGAAGATGAAGGACACCAAACCCACCTGTGCCGGCCGTGCCGTGCACTCTCCTCCTATAAGGAGCAGGCTGCCAAGGTCATACTTACCAGTCTTCGGTGCCCACCCGGATAAACACAGAGACGAGCCGATCAGGAGGTGCAAACACTCGAGCTTTATTCAGAGGCCATCACAGCAAGGCCAAGCAGGAAGGCCAGAGCAAGAGAGCAGGAGCAAAAGAGAGCGAGCTCCGATCCCTACCGTTCCTTAAGTACCTCCTTAGCCCCTCCTCCTCAGCCCGCCTACTAGATTGTAGGATCAGATAGCGGAAGGGGATGTCTGGGTTTAGCGCACCAAGGGAGAGGAAGTGACGCAGGAGGCTAGGACCGGATACCGGAAGGAGGCGTCTGGGGTCAGTGCTACACAAAGGGAAAGTACGTGACCCAGGAAGTCAGGTTTGGACACAGGAAGGAGGCATCTGGGGTTAGCGTTGTACCTAGGGAGGGGGCTAGACAAAGGGAGCTCATTCTCTGCCGTCCCACTCCCACGTGGCACAGCCCCCTGCCTCAGGAGCACGTGCTCTGGCTACTTCCTTGTATCCTGTTCCTTCCCTAGCCTATCACAGCTCCACATAGCACAGCCCACTGCCTCAGGAGCGTGAGCTCCGGTTATTTCTCCGTATCCAGCTCCCATCCCAGTTCACCAAAACTCCGCCTAGCACAGCCCCTGCCTCGGGAGCGTGAGCTCCAGTTACTTCCTAATATCTTGTTCCTACCCCATCTTGCCACAACCTCCACTTGGCAGTAGCCAACATCAGACAATCCCTCACACCCACCCACCCCCTGGTCTTGTCCAATGAATCTGAATCACTTAGACTTTGAATATGATGCCTTGGTCAGAGACTTGCTGCAAACACTCTGTTCTCCATTTGCCCATTTTTCTTATTTTAAGTTAGATGTGTGTGCAAAAACCAATTTTATGGAATCAAAACCATGCATTTTATCTCATGACCCTGTCACCTAGCCAATCCTCGGCCCCCACCCACAGACCTCCCAAGTTTTCTTCGTCTTTCCACTGTTTGATGATGTGACCTCTTACGTTTCAGTGACATAGCCATCCGAAGGTTCTCTTCATCACGCGATGTGAAGCCCTGGTCTAAAGCTAATTTCTACTGTATCGGCGTCCAGTTCTCCAGTTTTGTCACATGTGAAAGGATGAGTCCTTCCAGTACTAGGGATCTTTCGGGCTCAGACGCTTTGTGTGTCCTATAGCTGAACTGCTCCGCTCATCAACCTCTCTCTCAGCACCAAATTGACTTAATCATGACTAATTTGTACTAGCTTGACTTCCGGTACCAAAAGACCAGTTCGGTGGTAGAGTAGATACACATTCAACATGGAGTAAGACTTACATTCAAATACCGCCTCAAGCACATTAGCAGCTGTGTGACCCCGGGCAGATCACTTATCCTCCATGTGCCTCCGTTTTCAACTGGAAAATGGGGATAATAGCACCTCCCTTCAGGGTTGTTGTGAGACTCAAATAAGGTCATTTATAATGCCCTTAGCATGGTATCTAGAACACCGCAAATGCTATGTAAATGTGAGCTATTATGAACTTTTTTCAGCCCTCTCAAGTTTTGCTCCCTTGTTCCTCCATGTGAATTTCCTTTTTTTCTTGATAAAATATTCATTTAGTAGTTTGACCTGCCTAACACAAAACAATCGATTTAGTAGTTCTGTCATATAGACTTGGTCGACCCTGTTTATCTGGTATGTACATAGTTATTTCGGTCGCTTCTCTCAAGAGTAGGACCTGTCTTTGGACTTCATTTTCCTGCGTCCTCAGCACTTCGCCCAGTGCCTGGCCCATTCCCCCAAAATTAACCAAAGCCCTCTCCTCCTACGCCTCCCACGGGCACCCCTTTTCCTCCCCCCACCACTCTCTCTTCATGCTGGGCTCAGATAAAAGTTGGACCTGCTCCTTGCCAAGCACGGTTAACTCCTCAGAACGCACCCGTGGGTCCTTCCCTCCTCTTCTCCACCAACTTGCCTCCACTTAGATGTTTCCTTGCCTCCTGTGAACATGCCCATCACCCTGCTTTTTGAAAACAAGCCCAAATAGTACCTGCTGACCAGGTGTGGTGTGAGTCTTTCTCACCTCTTGTCACAAGCTCCTCCTGAACGGCTGCAGAGAAGGCTGGGCTGAACTAATTTTTACAATGTGCACAAATGACCAGCTCCGGGGTACACTCAAGAAAATAAACTGACTAGAAATAAACCGGAGGCAAGATTTTCTTGTCGACGCATGGAGCACACAATAAAAACCAGTTCAGAAGATGCAGAGTGGGACCATTTTTTCAAGTTTATTTAAAAAGCATAGAAACCCTGACAAATGCACTCATGCTATAAGGCAAGAGAGACCATCTATCCCCGTCCAGGGGACAGGCTGCAGTGCCACCAATCCCCTCAGGGCAGCCTCCACTGCATGGCAACAAGACCACTCGGCCCCTGGGCCCGATGGCTTTGCCACGGTCCCGTCAGAGACACGGAGGCCGGGGGCTTCTTGCTGATCTCTCTGGGAGACGTTTGTCTCTGAGCGAAGCTTATATGAGCACACGTACACACTCACACACACAACAAGATCTTGTTATTTAAATGTTGACACAGGGACAGACACTTCCTTTGCAAAAAGACACTGCGTGCTTTGTCTTGCTACGACAGTAAGAAGGGAGGCCCGCTGCCTCTGGCGCTTCTGAGCAGCCACTGACCATGTGAGGCAGAAAGTGAGCAGAGCCAAATGTCCTAGTGAACAGCAATGCCCTGGACTCGTGGGCCTAAAAACACAGACACGACTCTGTGCAGGGAAAAGAAGTGGGGAGGGACTTCCCTGGCGGGGTCTAAGCGAGGGCGGGAACGCTGCCTTCATGGTCCGTGTGGCCAGGCAGGAAAATACTAAGGGTTTTCCCGAGCACCTCTGACCCAAGGACCTGACGGGGCAGCCGCAAGCCTCTGCTAAGGAGTCTTACGTGGCTTCGGCTCCCGTATCCTGTGGTCAAGCAGGGACGATAGAGAAGGAAGGGCAAAAGTAGCCAGAGAAGTTCTCTCTGAGGTCTAGTTAAGCACACAGAGGGGCACCATTAATATAGCAGGAAAGGAAACACATTTGCAAAATGTTCGGAAAACATTTATCATAGTTAAACTAAAATGTGTACATCCCACTCTCAAAACAGCAAGTTGCTGGTGTGATAATTTAATTCCTGGTGCCTGGGGGTAAACTGAGCCATTTCACTCTGTGATATCTGAGGTGAGATAGATTCAAGTGGGTAATTTCCCCACTTCTCAAACTATCCTATCAATTTTGAAACCATGCAAAGCGTCTGTGTCCGTGTTGTTCCCTGCGCGCTGAGGCCCAAATGGTGAGCCCCGCGGCATGCCAATAGGCGGAACAAACCCACAGACACAGAACTGGACCTGCAGGCTTCCCCTCCCCCCACCTTACTACCAGGGAATGAAATATTTGGTCATGAAAAGGCCCAAGGGCATCGCAACAAGTCTCAAAGGGGAAAAATGAAATCTGCCTTGGGTGGGGATCACCTCTCCTTCGTGTCTGCATGGAAGCAGTACAGATTTTTAAAACCAGGACCCCGTCCCAGTGGAGAAAGAAGACAACAGACCTAGCCTTCTCCACCAGAAACCCAGGAATACACACATGGGTACAAACATGCATACATGCATGCACCAAGTTTAAAACTATAATGGGACAAAAGCCAACACGTGTATTTTCAGCATGTAATACTACACTAGGCAAAGGAGCTCAAGAATGATCCCAGATTTCACTTTTGTGAATAGTTTGGCCCAAAAGATACAATGAAAATGGCAAAGGGGAGAATATCCAAAAACGGCTTCTGTAATTGATGGGGAAGCCCTGGGGCACATGGCGAAGGCCCACACCTCGTCCTGACACCCTCAGAGACAGGGCCAGACCCTGCCTGTGGCCTTCCTAGCCCCTCGACACTGACCGCCAAGCTCTTACCACTAGGAAGACATTCCTGCTTTCTGCTGAGTTACTTCTCTCTGGTGTCTAGGCCAAGAAGTCAACATTGTTTTGTTTTGTTTTTTAAAGAAGGGAGTAAAAAGACAAAGGAAAACAGGGGGAAAAAAAAGCTGACATGAGCAGAGCTTCCCCACAAAAAGGAAACGAGGGTGCTGGGGAGGGGAGCACCTCCACGGGTCCTGAAGTCGACAAGCTCCAATGACCATGCGGCACTGGGACCCATCTGGGCGTGCCACATCTCCACCCACGCCTCACACGCCCCACACACACTCAGACACAGAAGTGGGCCTGACCCACAAGCTGGTGGCGTTTCCAGCCTCACTTGTCCCCGCAGACTTCCAGGTATCTTGCTCCCCTGCCCCGGGCCTCCCCAAGTCACCGGAGGGTACAAGCAGGGACAAATAAACGGGCACAGGGCGGGATACATTCATTTCCAAACCGGACACAGTGTCACGGAGGGTGAGGTGGCTTCCAGGACCAGCCGAGGGGGAGTAGCCCCTCAGCGGTCCACGTCCACTCCACACCCTCCGGAGAAACTCATGGTAAGGGCAGTGACGAGAAGCTAGGGCACCTCTCAGGCAGCGCATCACAGAGATCACTTCACGTTTTCAATATGAAACATTTGTAAGCGGTGAAGTCCAATCCCAACAATCCCAACGCCCCTCAGGAGGGTGAAGTGAGGCTTCAATCCGTCCTGAGGCAAGGCCAGCACGTTCCTGGTTTACTTCAGAATGATATGGATGCCTTCACCGTTTTCCGCTAGGGGACAGAAAAGACAAGTTAGACCAGATGGCAGCCCGCGGCCAGAGTGCGACCAGGGGGCTCTGCTCAACATGTGAGGGGAAGGCTTGCCAAGCCCCTGTCTGGCCCCCTTCCTCTTCCAGTCCTGCAGCCTCTCCCACTCCCCACCAGATCCAGGACAGAAAAGGCCCTGACAGGCTTCTGTGGAAAAGCCTCGGCTGTGACTGTGGGGTGGTGGGAGGAGAAGTCCCGAGACATCTGGCAGCGTCACCAGGAACGTCGGGGCAGGGGGCAGAGCTGTACAAGGTCCCAATGGGATGAGTCAGCTTTACCTCTCCACATCAGGGCTGGGTAAGAAGGCCCCACAAGATCTCTGGCCCCCTCTCCTCGAGAATTAGATCAAGTGCCGCCCATCAAACATGCTGAAAACCCTCGGTCAGCAGCACCTGGCGTTCACAGGCCTGGACCCCAAAGGCCCAGGAAGGAGCCACTAAGGCTTCCCTCTGGGGGAGCATCAGGAAAACACAGAGTGCCGACCCCACCCACAGATGAATGAGCCCCAACACCCAGACTGCTGCGCCTCACGCACTCTCCCAAGCACACAAAATACCTTTTACAGTGGCGAACAAGAAACAACTCTCATCTTGAAAGTTCTGAACCACCTAGAAAGACGAAGCAAAGGTAAGGCAGCACAATGAGTCCTAATCTCCCTCCCCTGACCAACAAGAAAGAACGCGGTCAGTCCTGGGGACGAGAGAGGCCGCTTTTCATCATCTAGGCTGTCCCTATGAAGGATGACAGCCGGGGCCGGGCCTCTGCCCTTGAGACCCTCCAGTCAAGGAAAGGGGAACACTTGGACGAACGACTGTCCAGGGATCCCTCCGACCCTAATCCCCGTCCCCACGCCGAGAGCATGGAAGGAACGGCCTGAGATGGAAGTACGTGGACCCAGCCACTGGGTGGTTCGGGTCTCTGAGGTCTCGGATGTCCAAATGCTTTCTCGTCCTGCCCGCTCCAACACAGAGCTGCTGGTCCTAGCTCTACGTCACAGAGGAAGTTGGACATGGTATACAGTTCAGACTAGCGGGGTGATGACAAGTCCCCCCTGAGCAAACAGGCTCTGAAAAAAAGGGTGAGCCACACCGCTTCTGCAGCCAATGGGTGGCCACTAACACCGCCAGGCCAGGCCAGGCCAGGCCAGGCCAGCTCCCTTACCTGGTCACTAAGGAGAACGTGAATCCCGGTGGGACCCTGTCTGTAAACCTGGTTAATCTGGTGCAAGGGAACATTGAACGCCGAAGCCAATTTCCGAGTGACTTCTGAGGCTGCCATCTCTTCCAGGTAGATTGCGTGATAAACTGAAAGAATGAGTAACACCAAGAAGTGGTCGCTGGGAGAACTAGAAGACCATCAGGGCTGTGAGCAGCAGCAGGTGGGCCTGTGGGGACGGGGGGCCTCAGACAGACTGCGCCCCTCCCTCAGGGCTGCTGGGCTTCCTTCCCCTGCTTCAGTCCCTTCTGACACAAGGGCTCCTTGTCCAGGGCCCTTCTGGGGGCCGTGCCTTGGGGATTCTTCACACAGAACAAGATGTGGAGAGGGAGTCTGAGCGCTGACTCTTACTGCCCCTCAGTTTCCTCATCTATAAAATAGGATGACTGCAAGTCGGAATTCAAAGGGCCCAGGTGAAGACAGGTTGTGACTGGGGAATGGCCAAGAGGCCTGTGTTCAAACACAGGTAATGCAGCTGTATGGCCAGCCCAAGAGAGGAGGAAGGTAAAAAGGACCCCCAGACATGGCCTGCCAATGACAGGAGGCCAGCTTCTCAGTCAGTCATGGAGTCAGTTACACAAAGGCATAGGCTAAGTGCAGGAGGAGCGAGTCAACTGAAGTGTCCTGTGCCCCACGGAAGCTGAGCTGCACCTCGAAGGAAGAGGCTGACTCCGACAGGTGCAAGGAAAAGGGAAAAATGAACCCTAAGCAGTACAAAGTCACCAGCTTGGGGTGGGGCTGCTGGCTGGGCCAGAGTCGAGGGGGTGCCTGGGAATAATCTGGAAGGCTACCAGACTGTGGAGGGCTTTAAAGGCCAACGAACACGGTTTATCTTTTTATCACAAAGGGAGTGGGGAGCAAGCACTTCAGAACGTCAGCATGGTAGCTCATGGGCCAGGAGAAAGGGGAGCAGAGTCTGAGCAGGCAGAGACTCCTGTGCGCAGGAAGAGCACTGAGGGCCTCAGAAGGAGAAGAATAATGCGCCAAGAGCCTAGGCTGCAGAGGCAAGAGAACCTGGGTTCAAATCCCACCTCAAATACTTAACAGCTGCCTACCCTGAGCAAGCTGCTGAAGCTCCCTTGGCCTCAATTTCCTCATCTGTAAAACGATGCTGATAGCACCAACCTCACAGGGTTGTCGTGAGGATCAAGTGACTCAGAATGAGGGTTACCACAGTGCCCGGCACACAGTAGGTTCTGACTCCCAGCCTGCCCCAATCAAAGGTTCCGGAAAATTTGTTCCCTAAGGGAGTAGCCAGAGGCCTCCTCTCCCTCCTCTTCCTCCTCCCCATCCACACCATGGCCTGCTCTCTGCTCCCTCCCTCCAGCGCATCCATCTCTTTTCTCACTCTCTTCTAAAGCCTCCCACCTCAAACTGCTCTCTCCAAAGTTACCAGCGATTTTTTAACGGCCACATCTGATGGCCTTGCCGCAATTCTCAGCCTCCTTGACCTCTCTGCAGCCTTGGACACTCAACCACTCTCTCCTCCGAGATCCTCTCTGGACAGAAGCTTTCGTGATCCAGCCCCCAAAGCCATCACGGCAGGGAGAAATCACAGCCAACAAGGAACCTGTGACCACCAGCAAGAAGCACTGACAACTACCTCCAGCTTCCCCCTCAGATCCACCTTCCAGGGAAACAACCCTGTGAAGAAGGGGCCGGCCTGCCCACCAATTGCCATGCCTAGGACAGAGAAGCTGGGCTTACTGAAGCAGCCAGGCCTGCTGCTGAGGGAAAAATGGAAGGCAGCCCATGCCAGGCAAGGCAAACCACTCCCGCCAGCTGGGCCACCACTGCCTCTCCTCAGACCCCAAGCCCGACAGCCTTGACAAGAGCCAGGCTTCTAGCCTGGTCCCGCTCTTGCAGAGGCCGCGGCCCCAGCTGCTGCGTCCTCTGAACGGACGTGACTAACGCAGGATTTATATGGACATATATATTCACGTGACTATATATCAGACACATTTTTGGTAGATTTTGTTCTCCTTGTCTACTTGATGAAAGGGAGATAATTTGAAACTCAAACAAAACTGAATTTTAAGAGAATTGACAGTCCTTGGCACTGTCAAATGGCTTGAGACCAGGAAAAAAATCTGATCTGGTCAGTGAGAACGATACCAAAGAGGCAGCTACATGCTCTTCCTCCCCTGCAGCCTGGCCACCCCCATCCCAGCCCCCTGCAGCCTGGCAGCCTCCCCATCAGAGACAGAGCAGGTCCTGCCTCACTCTCCTATTCGGATCCCCCAGCACTAAGTGCACGGCTTTGTACACAGTAAGCACTCAATAAAGACTTCCTTTTGTCCTGGATTTCCTCCTATCTGACCATCCCTCTGCCAGTCTTCAGCTAGTTCAGGCACGCTCCTCCAAGCATCCGCCAAGGCTCTGCCCTTCTCTTTCTCACTACATAGCTCATCCACTCCCAAGAGTTAAACGACTACCTCTATGAAGACAACTCTCAGACCTGTGCCTCAGCTCTCATCCTGCATCCCTGACTGGCTGCCCAAAGGATCGACACCTCAGCGTGTCTGAAATAGAACTCAATGATCTTTCCCCCTAACCATCCTCTCTCGGTGACCTCTACCAGCATCACCAAGTCGTCCCTCACACTCTCACCGTACAAATCCAACAGCGTCAGATCATGGTATTTCTACCTTCACAACAGCTCTCAAATCACCCGATACTCTACGTATCAAGCGCACATTTGGATTCAAGCGCTCCTGACTTTTTACCCGGAGTGATAGAATATTCTTTTAATTCAGGGGTCTTCCTGACTTCAGGCCCGGGCCTCAATCCTACGCATTTTATTCTACGCAGTTAAAAGCCCTATTCTGAAAAGGGATCCAAAGGTTCACCAGGTTGCCAACAGGGCAACGGGGATATAAAGGTTAGGAATCTCTGTTCTGATGGGTCTCTCCCTACTCCATCTGATCTTTTGTTCAGCTGCCAAGATGATTTCCCTAAACTCTAAAGTGTCTCCAAGAGCTCCCTATTACCACTCTTCAATTCTTTGTACATTTTACTCCCCCTCAACACACCCTACAACTCAATGCCACTGACCTTGAATGATTTGTCATTTCACCCCCAAATCTCAGGCTTTCTTCAAGATTTCAGCCACATCTCACTTCTGCCAGGGGCCTTTTCAACACCGCCCCAACTCCTTTCGCTAGTGCCTTTAGCTTTTAAGTTCCTTTCCATTTACACTACATATATCCTGCATGTTGCATACTGACGCACTGCCCCCCTCCAGGACAGGGGATGTTTTTGTCTTTTTTTCTTTCTCTAGGACTTGGCAATGTTTGGCACATAGTAAACACTTAATATGCTTGTATGACTTGACCCACATCACAGAAATGAAAAATAAACTCGGGCTTTCCTGACATCAGGGTTGGGTCTATCTGCTATGTCACAATGTCCTTCCCATTTCCCTCCCTATCTCTAGATAAAAATAGGAAAGAAGGTTGGATTAAGACAGCCGCAATCCTTTGACTACTTGTCAAATAGTTTCTGGTACTCCAGATTTCTATATATATCTTGGATACTAAATCCTTCTCAGTGCTATTTTCCCCTCAGTCACTTACTTTCCTCCTTATCCTAAATGAACTATCTGCTCAAAACCTTTTCAATTTCAAGGAAATCAAAAGAATCTGTTTTGCTCATTTGTAAAAGCCACAAATCCCTTCCTTGGCAAACCCTCCTCCTGGCAAGAGACCAGTGGAGAGCTGACCATTCAATGTTTACAATTCAGACTTCAATTCCACTTTGAATGGACTGTGGTGGATGGCAGAAGGCTGACTCGGGGCTGCACTCATGTCCTCAGCAGAGCTTATCCAATCCAGAGTTCTTTCCTAAGGGATTTGAAGTTCCCCTATCAAGACCATTGCATTCACGTGCTCTTCTATTTTTTAACCAATACCAAATGGCTGAGATGGCTGCTCTTTAAAATGCAATTTAAGGTTTAGAAGTGCTAATCGCTCTTCTATCTTGCATTTTTAAAAAAATAAATTCTCATGGTAGATTTTTAGTTCCTCCAAATTTCTTGTTCCTATTTTATCTCTTTAGCTCTGCAAAGTATCTGTTTTTGTAGAGAGACTCGGATGGCATTAAGCCTTTAGCAGCACGGTCACTTTCACCTACTTTGGCACAGCTTTGCTACGATAGCTACTAAAATACTTTGTAACTGAGGGTTATCTAAGTATTGAGAGTGCTCTGGTACGTTAACACCTAAATATCCTGTGCATTTTGTAGTTATTCGGAAGAATTCCTTTTATATTACTGCCTTTTCAGATTTTGCTGCTACAATACAGAAATGGTAGTGTTTTGTATAGGTTTGTGTTTGCAGCTGTAGCCTGCAATGTTACAGCTCTTGTTATTCATCTGTGGACTTCCTAAGTAAATGTAAGGTCATCAACGCAAAAGGATACTTTCTCTTTGCCTGTCATTACGCCTGTCTTTGTCGTGTTCTACTGCTATTGCTAACATTTCTAGAACTAGAGCGAATTATACAAGCTATAAAGTTGCTAAGGCCTGTTGATTTCACCTCTGCTACATCTCTAGTTGGTTTCACCTCTGCAGCATCATCTTTTCATCCAGTTCGCCCCCTCCTCTCCTCTGACCTTGCCCCTACTCTGGTGCAGACCTTCATCACTTCATGTCTGGACTGCTGCCATAACTTGCTGGGGCATCTGCCTGCCTCCAGTCCCTCTCCACTCCAGTTCATCCTCCATTCAGACACAATTACATTTAAAATTTCTGAACCAATGTTCTTTCATGATATTGCTCTCTTTTTCTGCTTTATCCTTTTCTGGTTTAGGCATCAGGACTATATTTGGTTGATAAGAGAAGTCTGACAGGGTGCTTTCTTCATTTTTTGACATAATTTTGTTCCTGAAAAATCTGACAGTATTCCCCTACAGATCCACTGGGACAGATTTGGGGTTTTCTGGCTAATTCTTTAATATCTGCTTCTACTTTGCTCTCTGAGATTGGATTATGTATCACTTAACATCTCTACGTGGTGTCCTTTTAAAAACGGGCTTTTTGTAATTTAAGGTAGCCCTTTATTTCTTTTCTGTATTCAGTTTTGTTAGGAGAGTAGATTCTGTAAATTCTCTTTATTTCTCTGGTTGCGTTGTGATTCGCTTTGTTCATTTTTTAGTTTCTTGATTTGGTTTTCTGCTCTCTAACAAATATGCCCTCAAGGAGCTTCCATTTGAAGAGAAACAGATCAAAATGGTAATTCCATTTAGAGGGAGAGAAGGCGGGCCCACTGCTCCCCAGGCACTCTGAGCTTGCTCATGGTATTCTAAGCCCCATCTCCTCATACCCCACTACTGGATGCCTAGAAAGATGTCCAGCTGCCAGCATCAGCACCTCAGCAGCAGCTTGGACACAGCTGCGGCCAAGCTCTTTTCAGCTTCCTAGGCCCTGACACAGTTGCCTCCTAAGCCCCAAGCGCTCCAGAATGCATGCATACCATATACAGCACCATTGCTGTGATCTCCATGGCCTGCACCAGGTTGCATTTCCAGCTGTGCGCTCCTGGGCTGCTCCTGGCAGACGTAGATGGTGAGACGAGGTCTAATTGTCCTGCAGGTACAACATACCATAGGTGAAGCTAGCTCACAGCATGAGAAAGTTACAGCTGTCTCCTTACAGTAACATTTCCTTTCATAAGGATTACTTAGAAAACATGAATGTAATCACAAACAAGTGAATACCATTTGTATAACATTTTGAAGTTTGGAAAGTATGTGAATTTTATCTCATTTGGACAACCTCATGAGGTAAATTCTAGTATTATCCCCATTTAAAGATGAAAATGAGTCTCAGGTAGAGTGTGACAATCTATAACCTAAGGTCTTTTGGATTCAGTCCACCACTCTCTCTAGGGCCCCCCGTAGAGCCTCCTTGCTGATGGTCTCAGGTCCCTAAATCTGATGATCTGGATTCTAAACTTCAAATTTTGAGAAGATGCTACAGGCATCCAGAAGGCCCAAGGTTAATCTACTACTGATCATGGAACCCCAAGTCCTGTCCCTTCCCCCCAATTGTAGGGTGTCAGCAGCCAAGAAGAGAAGTTCTGTTTCTTAGCCACAATGACTAGGACTGCCCACCCCCCCAGAGGGCAACCAGCACACCAACTCCTGCCCAAGTCAGCAGGTGTGCCCCAATCTGACTCCCAAAGGAGAGATTCTCTCTTGGAAGAAAGGCACGTTCAAGCTGCCTTTAACACCCTGTCATCTTTACCTTGACTTCAGTGCATTGTACAGGCGAATGCCGTCAGCTGGGCCACAGATCTGTACGAGGTCCTCTCTTGTCAACTTCAATAAATCGGCACCTGAAAGAGAGAGTGTGAGAGGACTGCCCCTGAAAGCTACAAGCAGTGGAGGCCATTTTTCTGATTCTTACTGACTGCTGGTGGTGCCACCTAGAGCTCCCATGGGAATGCCCTTCCTACCACCCCACTTTCCTGTCCCCCAGGACACTGGAAACTCAGAGAAGGGCTACAAACAGAGGCAGATGATGGCTTCCTTTGACCTCTGTCCATATTCTTCAACAACCATGATTCACAGCTCTGAGCTCCTTTTCTTACAAATTCTACCTCTGTTCCTTTGGGATTTCCAAGTTTACCAAACTAATGACTCAGGGAGCTCACTGAAGCTTGGATTCCAGCAAGACTGTCCCTTGGTCAATCTTCCATCAGAGAAATGAGGAAGAAAGCTGCCCTTCCATCTCCAAAGGTTGGCCCCCTGATCAGAAGCGCAGGCCTGCCCAGAAATCCACTGAATGCTTTCTGGTCCTAGGCCTCCTATGCCCCACTATGACTTCGGACAGCTGTCCAAAGTCAGCTAGCTGACAAAGTCAGGTGGGTTCGCTTTGTGTGACTACCCCACACTGGCAGCAGGTGGGTGTGGCTACAAACTCACAGAATGAAGCCCCTGCCCCTTCTCCATACTCATCTCAGAAATATGGACGTCACCTAGAAACCCTCCCATGTTGAATGGCAAAGAATATACCCACACAGGCTCAAAAGCTGCCCTTCTTCCCACTGAGGATTATGGACATCCTAGTTTCTCAAGTTCTTTCTTATATACAAGCTTTCTTTGGCTCTGACACAACACAGAGGCAAATCACCTGCATTCAAATTAGCACTGCAAAAGGGACTTTAGTTTGTAAAAGGCATAGGAGAAACCCCCCCTAATCATGCTGCCATCTGCAAACCCTCTCATGAAAGGCACAGATTATTGAGGCCTCACGCAGTTCTGCATCCCACACCAGGACCCTGTGTCTGTGGGTATAAGCACAGCGCCTGGCCAAAGCAGGAGCCTGCTGACTGGCTTGAGACCCCCAACTTCGATCTCGTCTGTGACAGAGGGGAACGTACCTGAGAAATTGGCGAAGAGCCTTGCGTAGGTGGCGAACCTGTGTCTGAGCAGCCATTGCTGAGCCTCCTGGATGGTGGCTGACGGGTGAAGTTGCTAGGGGAGGGGGAGAGCAGTATGTAGAGCCCACAGTTACCTGCCCTCTGTATCCCAGCCCGCCTCCACCTGCTGGGCACTAACACCCACAGAAGGCTGGCAGAGGCTGGCTCTGCCTTCCCAACAAAGCACGGCCGACACGTGTGACAAAGAGAGATACTCACTTCACCAGAGCCTTGGGAAATTCCTTCTCCTTGATGGTTTGGAGAGGACGCATCGCTGGGAAGAAGGAAGGAAAGGGAGAAGGGGGCTAAGCAAGATGACCAAATCACGAGGGGACCCTAGGACATGGGGAAGATGAAAAAAAGCAGCCCAGTCTCTGAGCCAGGGCCCTGCTCCTGATGAACTATGCAACACTCCCATAAACCGAGTGGGATGAATGGGACAATCCTGCTGAGGCCCTGTCTTATGTCTGAGGCTTCTACCCGGAGTCCTCTACCTCACATGGCCCTAGGTGTGGCGCTGGGAAGAACCTCTGAGACCAAGGGCTCCACTGTCAAAGGAAACACTGTGAAAGAAGCCCAAAGAACAGAGACAAAATGGTAACTAGTTTACTTTTTTTTTAAAAAACACGTTGCCATTATAGAAATTGAGGTCAGAGATTCAGGGAAAGGAAAAGGGCATTAAATCTAACCAACAAAATCTTGACCCTAAAAAAGTTGGAACTCATCGCACTAGACAAAAAGGTTCTGCAGCCCGTTATCTATGGTGCGTGAGCAAGTGACTGTCCCCGGAGCAGCAAACACGGAGCAACTACAAGCTCCGCCCACGGCAGCAGGGCGCGACACCAGCCCAGCAAGTCAACCTCGCTCCCAGGATTAAGGAGGGGACAGTCCCCCCACTTCACATCATCGGGAGGTCAGTGTTCCCTTGTGAGCACTACGGGAGGGGTTGCAAGTGCAGGCCTCACAAATCGGGGATGCTACACCTGGACAAGAACACTCTGGGAGATACAAGAGGCATCTTCAAGTATGACAAGGGCTCCTCAGATCTGTCCAGTCGGCCAATGCCCAACGAGCCAAGTGGGCTCAATATCAGTTGCTAAGTAGGGGATGGGCTGCCCTGGGAGGTGGAGCATTGCCCCTCTTCGGTGGTCTTCCAGCAAAGGTCTTCATGACCATGTGTTAGGAATGTGGGGGGAAGTGCTTTCAAGTACTCACCCCCTTACAGATATACCCTGACCCAGCAGAAAGGGACAGAAGGACTAGCCCAGCAAAGCTGCCAGAAAACATATTCGAGTCCAGCCCTGCACGCATCTCTTCCCTCTAAACATTTCCACATGCTCAGAAGAGGCCACAAACCCACCGGCACAGCACAGCCCTTCCCAGCTTCCCACAGGAGGCTGCACTGAATGCTGGGTTTTCACCGGCAAGCTAGACGAAGACATGGACACACAGAGAGCAGGAGGAGAGTTCCCTGCAGGACATATTGGCCAGGAGTCGTAAACGAAGAGAAATCCAAATCTTACTGCTAGACTAATTTTTTCATCTCTCCATGTGTCAGGAGGTTGTGGCCTAGATCCACCCCAAAGCTAAGTGGCTGTCCAGTGGCTTTTTACTGGTGAGCCAGCCCGATTCTGTCAGGATCAGGGACTTGGGGGTAGCCTGGTTCATTCCAGCTTTCATCATCTACAAACAACCTGCAAAGCAGGAACTGTGGGTCTGAGCCACATGAATTTGCTTCCTCGGGAGCCAGTCTTCTAGAAGGCCTCACTCGTTCGCGTGGTGCTGACCAAGCTCTGAGTTAAGAGGGTGGCCGTGCACCTGGCTCAAAGTCGACCCCAAATCACAGGGGGTGAAAGGATGAAAGGGGAAGAGTGGGATGGAGAGAGAAGGGAAACACAGAGACAGACAGACGGGGAGAGAGACCCAACCTTTGCCCACCCCCACAGCACATCACTATGGCTGCCTTGGCTAGACCAGATGAGAAGTCGCTTTGTCTCTGACCTTGGGAACAGCTCCTGAGGGGAGGTTCGCAATTCCCCAAGGATGACAGTCTTCCTCCGTCAACGTTTGGAAAAGCAAACTGCGATCTCCCCCTTTCCCCCCAAGGCTGTTTTCAATAGAGCACTGTCTCCAGTGGCCTGGCACATACCTCTCAGGGATGCTGTAGGTGCTCGGCTGAGCAGAGGTGAAGGTGGGAGTGGGCGCAGGGCTCTCACTGCCGTAGGCTGCAGTGGTGGCCGGCCATGGGGAGCACTGCGGAGGAAGAAAAGCCATGCACATCAATCACTAAGGTGCTTGTGAAAGAGAAGCAAGTCATTGCTGAAGCTTTTGGTCCTTCACTGACAAATAGATTCTTGACTGGAATCCAACCAAGGGAAACTGGGTTTCTGAATGTCACCCAGCTGACCTAGGTTCTTTTCCTAGCTCGGGTAGGAGGAGCAAGGATGGCCACGCCAATGAAAAGTCATTAGAGTCTAAAAGGTTAACTGCTATAGCCATCACTTCTGTCTCAATCTCCGCTTCCTCAAGAAACCTGGACAGAAGGCATTGGGACAATGGCTGTAAGGCTGAATTCCTGGAGATTCAGCCCCCTCCACCATGGGCGGGGTGGGGCAGGGCTGGGCTGGGCTGCTCTGTCCACCCTAGGTTCCCATTTCCCATACTCCTTTATGATATGCCATAAGCCAGGCATAAGGAGCCCAAGGGAAAAAGGGAGGGGTCCCCACCTGCTCCCAAGGGAATCAATGGCTGACATCATGGGCCAGAGGAGGGAGAATTTTCGAGTATATCTGACAATTCTTGATTCTGGCCAAGTTCCAACAGAGGAGCGTAGGAGATCATGGACACGGTCAGTGGGCTGCGTGCCCATTGAGCGCAGCAGTGAACCAACACAGACCAGACCAACCACTGAGCAGGTGGGATCAGTGCACCAAAGAGAGGCTTCTTACTCTTTTAAAAGAACAAAGACACAGAAAATGACCTCAAGTGGAAGCCCGAGAACGGAAGGCCCCCTGAACAGCAGGGGGTTCCGTGGGCTCCTCATGCTGTCCCAGGCAAGGGATAGAAAAAACACCTCCCGTTTGTACTGAAACGAAGCACCAGACTGTCGTGACCCATCTACACTCCTCTATAAGGACAGGAAAATCCAGGAAGTGCAATCGTCTCACGAATCAGGCAGGACTTCACAAAGCAAGGGGATGGAGATCAGGCCTTCGACGCAGGCATCTCCCCAGGCCGTGGCATCTGGCTCAACAACCCTGCTCAGGGACTTCTACATGCCTGTCCACAGCCCAAACTGGGGAACATTCCCTAGGCACACTCGGGACACTGAAACAGAGACTAGAAAAGAGACGGAAGTCGAAACGTGAGCACCCCAAATCCTCTGTCCTGTGCCAGGGAGGGGCCTTTGCAAGTCAGCTCTCCCCTAGGTACAGAAGAATCCTTGCTGATTATTAAGCATGTGCCCCTTCACAGCCTCTCTCTGGCTACTGGAAAAAAAATCAAAAGCCTTCTTTTGGAAAAGAATAATTGGCTCTGATCCAGGCTGACAACATAAATCCCCAAGAGGCTTGAAGACCCCAGCCCACAGCCTCAATTGCAGGTGGTCAGTAAGAGACTGCAATGAGCAGTGGGTCTGGGTCCTATTGGGAGCTCAAGTCTGACACAGTGATAACCTAACCAATAGTTACTCTTCAACAAAATTAACACCATCATAGAGTTAACAAGAATTATCCTTAGCACTTACCCCAGAATTGAGACTCTCAACTCTGCAACTGGGTAATTAGTGACCCCTGGAGAAATAAAAGAGACTCCAAGAAGACTTCCATTCTGGGGCACTAGCACTCGAATCTTTAAATGTTTGGGAGGCCAGATTCACGACTGATGCTTGTTTGGTTTTCAACAGAGCTCCCAGTAGCCTTGGGAACTAGGCAAAGAGGCCCACCAAAAAGAAGGTGCCAACTAAAAGATATTCCTGGAAAAACTATGCTAGATACCACACACACACACACACGCACACACGCACACACACACACACACACACACACACACGAATGTAAAGAACTCTCTCTCACATAAGGTCATTGCTGATAAATACAATCTAGGAACAATTCAGTTCAACAGAATCTATGCAGGGCATCAGGCCAGGCAAAAGGGAGAAGGGGCCAATGTCTGCCTTCACATCACAGCACTTGCCCACAGGAGCATCTCAAAAGCCTGGGGTCTCCCGAATAAGACCAACCCTTTGTTTTCTCTTCAGTAGGATCCCAGGCTGGGGGTCTATAACAACTGCAGGCAGATTAAAAGAGCACACAGCGTAGACTGCTCAGGCTTGCTGACTGGGTTTAAGGACACACAGTCTAGACTTCCATCCCTCAGGGAATAATCAATGGAGGGATCTGTGAAAGGAAGCTAACAAGTGTTCATACGCTGGCTCTTAGCTTTAAAGCGGGTGTTCTGTGGGGCAGCTAGATGGCGCAGTGGATAGAGTACCAGCCCCAAAGTCAGGACCGCCTGAGTCCAAATCTGGCCTCAGACCAAACACTTAACACTTACTAGCTGTGTGACCCTGGGCAAGTCATTTAACCCCAACTGCCTTAAAAAAAAAAAAAAAAAAGAGTTTAAAGTGGGTGTTCTAGCCCAAATGTCTCTTTTTACCAGCAAAAAAAACTGAGGCCAAAGGTGGAGAGGTAGTCACAGAGGCAGGAGAGGAGATTTGGGATCAGAAGCCAGGCCTTTCCCTGAACCAAAGTGCTCTATGGGCTGCAGAGACAGGCAGTTATCAAGGGCACCTTCTTGAAGTGTGGGTCCCAGAGATGGTTGGGAGCTTTCCTGGGGCTCCACGATATTGCTCTGCCCATTTCAGGCCCATTCCCCCACTTCACAAAACCTCTCAAGGCTTTATCACCCACTCCCAACTTCTTTTCATTAGTCTAATCATTCCTAGATTAGGAATTACAGGGGATAAAGTGTCTTCTTTTGCCGAGGCTGAAAGACAAAATTAACGCTACCATGGTCTTGAAATTTCTTTCAGATGGAGAAACAGAGAGTGCACGTGTGTGTCAAGGTTCACAATGGCCAACAAGGCTCCGACATCATCTTCTATAGCCAGGAGCAGCAGCTCAGCTCTCTAATCCACGAAGAGTAACTTTACCATCCCAAAGGTGATTAGGGCTGTCTTCAGGTTACAACCCTTTATTTTATCTTTCTAATGACCAAGATCTGTTCCCTGAGATACCTAAACTGGTAGAAGATGGTAGCAACAAGAGCACTGTCCAGCATCACCAAATATACTGACCAAAGGGGTCAAAGGCAAAACCAGGCAATAACACCAGGAGGAATAAAGAGAGTAATGAGTTTGGGTGAACGTGAGGTTGTTTTGAGGGACAGAGCTCTTGGTTTAAAAAAAAAAGCCACATATTGAGGCACGGGATTAAAAACATGTCTGTTATACCAACCAAGCGCAAGGTGCCCGCCTGGTGACCACATAACCAAACCTCTCTGAGGCTGAGAGTGGCCAACAACAGCCACCACTGGTGGCGCTGTGCTGCCTGTCTAGACTAGGGTCTGCAGAGCCGTGTATATGGCAGGCAAGGGAACACTCTTGGAAGTCCTGACTGCATCCCTAGCAAGAACTCTCTCATTTTGAAAAGGAAAAACCTGCCATGGCCTCGGGGTACCAGTATGTATTACATTCTCAAGCCCCTGTCCAGGCCTGTGCTCTCTTTCCATGGAGCAAGGTGGAAAAATAAGGGCCTCTGGGTGAGGTTCCACATCTAGGAGACATTCTGTTCCCCTGGGAGACACCAGCCTTCCCTCCTAACCTAGGGACATGTCACACTTTTTAGGGCTGGCAGGTGCCTTGGGCAACGGCCAAGCTTTATTTTCACACAAAGCAGCTCTATGCCAGGAGGCTAGAGCCCAATAAATTCCCAGAAATCTCCAGGGCCAGAAGCCTCTTGAATGTCATCAAGTACTCTTTTTCCCATGATCAGATGAACCAAAAAACCCTTACAGAACATGAAAAATACACATTTCTCTCTCTCTCTCTCTCTCACACACACACACACACACACACACATATGCACGCACGCACATTCATGATGCAACAGATTTATATGGGCTCTGTAACCAATAACAAAACTCTACTCCCTACCAAGTTCTAGGTCCTTTTAATTTTCACTAAGGTCTCTGGTGCTGATGAGTAGAGACAGAGACCTGGGTTTCCTTTGCTTCTCTGCGGCAAAGCTCTCAAGCTCTTTGCTGCAGTCTACTCTCCCCCTCCCCCATCCTGCTAAGAGAAGAGGGTGTCAGAGGAGTCTTATGAACCCAGTGCCCAAAGGCCCACCCCTTACATTGGTCAGATCAATCTGCTTCGGACACATGCCACACAGGGAAGCAAGAGAAAGCCTGTCTCTTAGTGCGTCTCTTCCTCCTGACCTTCCAAAGTTCAGCCAAGCTCTGAGGTTTACTGCCAGGTTGGCCAAAGGGTGGTGATTGGGTTTTTTGGCCTCATAACTCATGAAGACTGTTTACCAAGCTGGAGCAGGGTGGTGTGTTGCACTGGTGGAGGGAGCAGCCCCACCAAAGAAATCATAGAAGGCTTGACAAGTTACATGTAACTACTTGTTCCAGAAAAATGGGGTAGGATGTCTGAAGCACTTCTCGAAAAGCATCTAGAATCCAGGAGTGAAGCTCGGATCGAGGACACGTGGCTCACTGCAGGAGCCTGGGAAGCCTAAGCTCTGAGGGGCCCAGAGCAGCAGAGCTGGCTCACGGCTCTGGCTCCACTGAGCCCGGCACACGACATGCCCAGGTGGAGAGAAGGCAAAAACAGAGGCGTTTTACATTCGCCGCCAGCACGCCTTTAAACATGGATGCGATACAGCCACTACCAGAAATACACAGGGAGAACAACAGACCTTTTTCAACGGCAGGCAGAAAGGAAAGCCGTGGTCAGCACAGACATTAGGGGAATCATGGGGCTCGTTTCTGAACGGGGAAGATGGTGAGTGGGGTGTGGCTGGGGCTCCCCCTCCCGCACTCCCCCATTAGGGACACACTCTGACGCTGTTGGCTCAGGCTTCAAGTGTTAGATTTAGGAAGCTTTCCCCGGAGGCACAGGCACGAAGCAGATTCGGTTCAGCCAAGGCCGGCCGCTAGAATTTGGGCCACGGAAGCCAGTCCTAGATCTAACACTGCCCAGGGCACCCTGCACAAGGAGAAGTAAGCCGAAATCCCTTACACTGCCTCGCTTTGCCAGAGAATCGCCGCAGTCTGCGGGCAAAGTCCGCTTGCTGGACCTTTTCTGCTCATGTTCAATTGCAGCTTCCATTATAGGCTCAAGCCTCATCTGGACAAACACCAAAGAGGGGGGTCAATTGCTTTTCATTAGACAATGAGGAAAGATCTACTCCCCTATTGCATGCCTATTCAGGGCAAACACGGCTCCAGGACTCGCTTGCTGGCACTCGAGGGTCTCAATGCGTCTGGGGGGAGGGGACCTGGCTGATGCGGGTGGTCCAGGGGGCCCCCCCCCCAGGGCTGGCTCCTTCCCCCTGCACTGCCCAGGTCCCTCCCACGCCGCTTAGCCCGCACGCCTGGTGCTGGACAGCTAGCCTGCTTTTCCTCTGAAAGGAGCTACGCCACATTACCTCGCTGAGGATGGTAGTGTCATACGAAGGCTGGTACTTTTCTTTTTCGTGGGGAGTCCTCTTCTCCATCTTTTCTCGGTCCGTTTTCTGTTTTCTGTCTGCTCCTTTAGGCTAAAAGAAAAAAAAACCATTGACTCAACAGTAGACGAAAAACGGCAGCCTCTGTCAATGCCAGGGTCCAAATGCCCTTCCCAGGCTCCCGTGAGGGGTGCGTGTCTGTGCGCGCACGCGCGCGGGGGCGTATGTGTGTGTGTGTGCGCGAACGCGCGTGCGCGGGTGTGTGTGTGTGTATGTGTGAGTGCACGCGCGAGGGTGGGGGGGTGTGTGTGCGCTCCAGTGCGCGTGCGCGGGCTGTGTGTGCGCGAGCACACGGGGGGTGTGTGTGTGCGTGTGCGTGTGTGCACGCGCGCGCGCTCCTGAGATTGCGGGTGTTTGTGTGCGTGTATGTGTGTTTGTGTGTGTGTGTGTCTGTGCATGCGCACGCGCGCGCGTGCGCACCCTGCCCACCCTGCGCAACCTGCCCACCCCCACCCCCAGGCCTCATCTCGAGACTGCGTCTCTCCCAGCACAGAACAGGACCTGCTCGATGGGAATCACAGCCAGTCCAGGAGAAGACAAGGGCCTCACGCCAAAGCCCGGTCTCTGTGTCTTACCTTAAAAACTTTGATTTGGCAGCTGGCTGAGTGCAGGTGATCAGTGTAGTCACCATTTTCATTCTGTTTAAAAGTGTCAACTTGGACTCTGAAAGCAACCCCCTTCTCGCCACCGTGCTTACGCGGGGTGAACTCCGTGCTGATGCAGTGGACCTGTAAACCACAGCAAGCCCCCCGAGTCAGCCGCTCTGTGGCTCTGGGCCTCCCTCCCCTCTGCCCACTCTACCCAGCCAAACCCCATAACCCTCCCCATCAACCCTCCAGGTCTCTTGCAGATCACTCTAGGTGTGACATGGTGCCTTCCTGACAACCTCCGGGAAGGCTACCAGCCCCACCACCACTGAATGGACCACAACCAAACTCTACTCTAGCCTGTGAGTGAATCCACAATCCAGACCCTGCCCTGTCCAACATCCTCCCTGACCCTCCCGGCTCGTGCCGCACTGGCTGGACCTCTGTCCCCATCACCCGCTTCATTCCTGCCTAAGTTGCTTTCAACTGCTAGCAACCCTTGGGGGCTGATGTACTTCCCGGCCCCCAGGGCTCTCCCAAGCTCTCCCCTCCTCCATCAGGCCCAGGGTTACACTCACCCTCCAGGCTCTGCCTGCCCTCACACACTCCTGGTTCTCTGGCAGCAGGACCCAAAGCATGCCGAGGTCTTGGGGATCTACCACACTTTCCACTGAGCCCCAATACTGACTTCTAAGGCTCCAGCTGACCTCCTGTACTCTTCTACTGGTGGGTAATAAACCCAGGAAGGCGCCTTTCTTACCACTGAAAATTCTAGAAATGGCAACCTTTGTCCTAGCCTATAACAAAAACTCAAACTAACCAGAAACTTTGATTTGTATCACCTAATAGGAAAAGTTAACAAGATTTTTAAATGAACAGCCTTGGAAAAACAAAAGAAGTCAATGATGTTACCAGCCAACTGAACCAAATTTATGTATATGAGGGGGAAAAAAAAAACCTTAGTCTAAGGAAATTCAATTACATACCACAAACATATCATGACATTTCAAATGACTAAATCAATATGCAAAAATCCAAACCTGAATAAATACAGATGTGCGTTTTGCAGGGTCCCAAAGAAACTCAACTGCATTTAACTGGCCTGGGTTTGTCCTTATGTCAATGACTCCAACAGACAGTGGAATATCTGTGTATTTTTTTAAGAAAGAAACTTACATGAAATTACTATCTTGAATTTAAAAACAAGAACTCACATGACATATTTCTGGTTTTTTAAATTTAAATGTACTGTTTTCTCATAAGCTCTAGACCCCAGAGCCTCATGGCCAACCTCTTCTCTGTCCCATCCAAAGATCTAAACATCAGAGTGAGTTTTTTCTTTGTTATTACTTATCAACACGGAGATGTTGCCAGGGACAAAACCAATGGCAGGCTTGAGGCCAAGCCTACCAGATTATTAGGGGGTGAATTTCTTTGAACTAGCTTCTCCAATCAGTGGGACCTGGGGTGGGGGTGTCACACGCACCGAGATCAAGTAGCCTGTCCCCAGGGCGATTCCACTTCCAGCCTTCCAGCTGCTGGTGCTCCGTATACTGGAGGCGTCTGTCATGGAACACAACTCTGATGATGCTCTACAGAGACAAGGCAAGAAACACTTCCGTTCAACAGCCAGGCTGGGAGGAAGGAATGGCCTAAGAGAGCCTCCTTCCCAGAAGCACTCTGACTTTTTTCTAATTTACTATTAACAAACGCCTAAAATCGAAAAACAGAAACCAAGAAACATGGCTCCCCCAAGGGAATAGAACCTTTCTGGGAATGCAAGAGCCTTGCGTTAGCTATCATGGTTAACAGTCACACCTGCTATGCACCAGGCACCGTGCTCAGGGCAGTATGCAATGACATTTCCAAGAGTCTAGGAATCCCCTCCTAGACTCTTTTTTTAGGCAGTTGGGGTTAAGTGACTTGCCCAGGGTCACACAGCTAGTAAGTGTCCTCCTAGCTGCCCCCCGCCACTCTGACTTAAGAGGATGGGCACGTAAGCACTACTGATGACCCCAGTACTTAAAATCATTCCCTTATATTTCTACCAAAAGTACTTAACGATCAATCTACAAGAATAATTTCCTATCAAGCACAGCCCCAGCAGCAAGGCCGCACTGTAGCCAGGGGTGGCTGAAGGGCAAGAGACAGGACCCTCTCTTTTTTGATCACGAGGCCTTATTCCTGGGCCGAGGCATCATTCAGCTAAACATCCTGATTTAGCAGAAATCCGCATCAGTAAATGGGGCTCTTTTCAGGCCCACACAGAAGAAAGTGACTGCATCACACAATCTATGATCCCAGAGTAAGGCTAAAAAGGCCCTTAGAGGCCATGGAGTCCAAATGACCCACTTCACAGATGAGAAAACTTGGGCCCAGAGTAGAGGCAGAACTTTCCCTGAGGTGACCCTGGGAACAGAAGCAGATGCAGAGGACTTCCTTCTCCCTTACTTAAGTTGTGGCATGATAAAGCCATCCCAGGGTGATATGCATCTCCCTAAGCTCCCCAAAAGACAAGGCCCTGTTACCACACAGTCCTAAGAGTCACCCAAGGGCCTAGAAGAGAGCACTGAACATGTGTCTGAGCACTCAGCAGAGCGCTCCTAAGAGCACAAGATTCCAACCAGACTAGGCCCAACCCCCCGACTGCCCAAGGAAGGAAACCAACTGGGCCCAATCCAGTGCCAGCCACAACAGGGCCCCTGGGCCCTGGCCCTAGATGGCAGGTGTCTCCTGCTACAGCTTGGAGTCACTCTTGGCTCTCCACCCTACTCACTTGAGGGAGAAGGCTCCACAAATGCCCTGTACTAGATCTCTCAGAAAAAATGGCAGGGACCACTCCCTGAGACTGTTAAAATGGGGGGTAAGACCCGCTGACTCAAGACTAGATTAAATCATGGGGAAAATGCAACCAGTTTGGCTCTGAAGAGGACTAACACAGGCAAAGTATGGTTAAGCCAGCCAACTAGAGAATGAATGAATGAGTGAATGAACAAACAAACGAGTGAATGACCCAACGGATGAATGGTGTGTCCCGGCCGAGGGCATGCAGGTGGTCAGGCGAGCAGCCCAGACATGTGTGGAGGGCAGGTGCTGACCACAGCCATGAAGTACCGATATGCAAAGGTTTGAGGCTTTTCCTGAAAACCTCAGAACCAAGCTTCTACCGAGGGGTTGTTAACAGACAGTTAGGAAGCCCAAGGACGTCCCTCACCTTCACCAACTTTCCACTGATCTCAGGCACATCTCCCAATTTCCGGTTGTCCAGCATCCGGATTTCATAGGACTGACCTGTTTCAAAGAGATGTCAGAGTTTGGCGGTGTTACAAACTCCACATGGAAAAGCAAACATTTCCTGAACAACGGCTTCTCACAGCCCTCGGTCTTCATAAAGGGGCCACCTCTTCCCACATGGCCGTTCTGCACATTAGCCAATGCAAGTTTGTTTTTAGAATGCACCAGCCGCTCAATTAAGGAAGGAAAATTGGTCCTAAAGCCTAGGGAAAAGAAAAGGCCAAAGACAAAGTGTCCCCAGAAACCAGTGATGGTTCTGAAGCCCACCGGGCTGTCCCTGCCTTCAGAAAGCTGCTGCTGTAGCCCTCCTGCCCATGCCCTGCAGCAGCGGCCCCTCCCTATCACCACAGCATCCATCCCACCCCAAGGGGCCGAGCCCAGGGCCCCATTTCTTGCTGCCTTTGGAAGCACTGTCACGTCAGAGAGGCCTGGACAGCTCTACCCACAAAAAGGAGTAAGCCTGAGTTCAGCAAAGTATGGTCACATGTAAGAAAACCGTCGGTCAGATCACTAAGCACTTTCTCAGACAAAAACTGGCCAAGACGGCCGAGTCCCTCGTGCTGAGTGCCCTCCACCCCCAGGAATAGGAAAGTCCAAGGAGTCCGGCACAGTCAACGACCAACTTTATTGCCTTTGCTGCCCGATGACGCCCACGACGATCGGCCTCAACCTGCTGCACAATGAGCTTGAAAAATCTCTTCTTAATTTTTTCCAAAAGCCATATATTAATTCGTGTCTTTCTCCTGCTTTTTAAAATTCTGAGTAAAAGTTTTTTTTTGCATTTTCTAGAAATTAAAGGCAGGCTGGGCCGGGCTGGGCCTGCCCCAACAACTATGCTCAGACTGAAAAGCCCCCACAACTTCCAACTAACATTTCCCCAGAGCTACCCCCTACCCCACAGGCTTCTTGGGCCCTCTGTCTTAGTAGGATCCTGCTGCCCTCCCAAATGTGTTTCTCGTGGACCAGACTGAGCCTTCTGAATCTCAGTGCTGGACAGGACTTCAAAGGCCACCGTATTCCTCTTCCACAAGTGAGAGCCAACGAGATCCACCAGTCATCCCCTTCTGGGACAGTTCTGGTCAGAATGTTTTTCCTTGTCATGGGCTCTATACAAATAGCTTCTCCCTGCTGCTCTTGGGACCGAGTGGGACAAGCCTAGCAGCGCCTCATCTCCACCCTGGCTGCCCTCTTCAGGACACTCGTCAGCAGATCACGATCCTTCCAACACCAACCTCCCGCCACGTGTGAGCCGCCCAACTGTCACACCCAATCCTTGTTCTCAGCTGCCTGAAAGCACATCAGCGCTCTACCACGGCATCACATCGTCCCTCTCCAAATAAGACCGGTCCCCCAGAACAAAATAGCCCAGTCCTTTGTTTCCTGGCTATGGCCTCCACCAGAAGTGAATGCTTATGAAGTAACCCCAGATCTGGACTCAGATGGCAGCCCTTGCCCAGGGCAAGTATCCCACGGGATCAAGCTGTTCCTACCAAGTGGCAAAGGGCTGGAGAGCGGGCCTCTGCCCGACTCTACTACTAAACTAAGTCCCATGGAGCTGACCAGCACCTCACAAAGACCACCTGCATTAGGGGGCAGTAGACACAGAGTCTCTCTTTCCTAATATGCCAAGGGAAAGCACTTATCTTGACCATGACAACTTCATTTAAACCATAGGCTATTGAAAAATGCAAAATTTAACCTCCAAGGGGCCTAGAACAAGTCCACAAGCTTTGACAAAGCACCCAAGTGCCAGGCCCTGTGGTAAGCACTAGAAATAGTCTTGGGATGTGCTTCAGAAGCCAAGGCAGCCAGCGGGTGGTGAGAATCCTCCAAGGGAGAGGTTCAGTCACAGAAGGCAGCGCAAAGGACTGAGGGCAAGGGTGGTGCAGAGATGACCTGGGCACCAAGAGGGGCCAGGGTTATCAGCCAAAGTGCATGGAGATGGGAGGAACACAGGAAAGCGGTGAGGTTTGTTTGCTGCCAATATGTTACCTAGGAGCCCCATGGGAGGGCTGGGAAGGTCTGGGGGGATGCTGGAAAGCAGGGTTTGGACAATGACTGGCAGGGTGGGAGTCTGTTCAATCACTGACAAACGAGTCATCGTCATCATCTCTGGACGTTTCAGGTTCAGGATGGAGTGAAACAAGGGCATGAGGCCACCAGGCATGGAAGGAGGGCAGGGTCCTGGAGAAGGCCACAAGCAGAATGGAAACTTGGACCTACAGACACCTGGGGGTTCCCCCTGCCTCCCAGACACGCAGCAACTTTTCTCTTTTTTTGGGGGGGGGGGGAGATTGAGTAATATTCAAGAAAATAATCCATAAAAATGTGATTTGATGGACCAGCAAACTTGGAAACCAGGGCATGAAAATCCACGCGCCAGGAGCCCTGGCTTCCTGTAAAGGCCCCACTGGGCAAAGCTCAGCTCCCTGCCCTAGAAACTGAGGGGGAGTCGGCTGCATCCTGAGTCTATGTGAAGTTCACGGAAAGGCTGAATGCCTCAGTCTTCACCTCTCCCTCACTGCCCGCCCTGGCCCAGAGCGACCTCCAAGGACCAGCACTACTTTGCAGCCTAGAGCAAGAGCCTGGTGCACCCTCCGCATCACGTGTCCACCGGGGATGGTCCAAGCAGAGGGAACACGTCCTCTATGTGGATGATACAAGAAAAGAATTGAGAGGACAGACACCAGAAGTGAGGCAACCATTTTCATGGCGCACAAACCACCCCTGCATTTCGCCATTAGTGGACCCAACCAAGTAAGGATCTACAGCCTTTTCCACTCTCAAATCCAAGTTTTTTTCCAACATGGCCCCAAAGTTAGAGGCCAAAAGGTAATTCCTACATGTTAAAAGACAAGCTATATATCAGATTGCACACTGTCTTGGGGAGAGAAGGGGAGAAAAATTTAAAACTCAAAAGCTTATGGAAGTGATTGTTGATAATTCAAAATAAATTTTAAAAAAGGCTAAAATACAAGCTCCGGTCTTCGTTCTCACTCCCTGCTGCCCTGCTCTTCCTTCCGCCCATATGATCTCTCATGTGGACACCTGGAATAACCTCCTAAGAGTGCCCCCACACCCACCCATCACAATAGGGCTGCACCTCAACCTGCAAGGAGGAAATGCCCTGCACGTCTCATCTTCAGACCCATTCCTCTCCACCACACCCTCTACCTCCTGTCTGCAACCCCTCTGAGCTCCCCTCTTTCCCTGAAAGGCCCTCCCCTTCCCTTCTCTGATGACACTGGCTCACGTTCCAGGCCAAAGGAAGATCTGTGAGAACGGACTGCTTTACACGTCACTTCATCTCTCGGCATGGCTAGCCAATGACTGGACAGTGCCCAGGGGGTACCTAATGCAGGTTTCCAAAGTTCAATTAAGGATCAGGTTGACCCAGAGACGTCCTATGGCTCTGGTACAAATCTCCAACAGAAGCTTCTGGTCAGTCCGGGACGCTTCTGACTCAGAGCAAACCCTGCGGGAAGTCCTCTGACGTGGGCAAGGCAGAGGCAAAAGTAGGAGTCTTAAGAAGAAACCCAAATTCTACACGGTCAGCTGGATCAGGCCCCTCCCCTTGAGGCCTTCGGAGCAGGTTCTTCCCGCACCGGGCAGCTCGCCGCCCACGACAGTTCCCTTCTCCTCACGACTTCCGCTACTGTCAACCTCTCTGTGGTTTTCCTGTGGCTTCTCAGCGAATGAAGAGCTTCCAATCCCGCCCAATTCCCAGGAGCGCACACCTAGGCCTAGAGCGTGACCACTCACCAGGCCAAACAAGGCCAAGCGCACTGATGCTTTGTCTGCGAGCTCTCCCCAAGACAGAAGGCACCAAAGGACAGGAAAACGAGAATGCAAATGCAAACTACTAATGATCCTGCACCACGCCAGAGAAACGCTTCACCTCATGCCCCACAAACCAGCCCAGGTGACAAAAAGTTGGGACAAGTCAATGGTGGAGGGCGATGAGGAGACAGGCACGCTTGTGCATTGTTGGCGGAGTGGCAGATCAGTATGACCACTGTGGAAAGCAGTTTGCAATTATGCAAATAAACTAACACCTCCATACCTTCAGACCCAGAGAGTCTACCGTCTCACACAAACCCCAAGGAGGCCACTGAGAAGATGAAAGTCTTCAAAGTACTGGAAGCAACAGAGAAGCCCACTGATCAGGGTGTGACTCAACAAACCGCGGTGCACAAATGGGCTTTAATAAACAATCACTATGACGGAGACAGAGAAGCTTGGAGGAGCCCCCTGAACTGATGCAGAGGGAAGAAAACAACAGACACAGGAACCACACCAGTCAACGAGAACGACACCGAGAAAAGAACGCACAAAACGATAAAGAACAAGCCTGGCTCCAAAGACGACGTGATAAGGGGAGAGGGTCCACAAGGGCTGCACACCGCACGTGTCCTCAGTCTGCTAGGATGGACTCATCAGTCAACGGGGAAATCATGGCGATGTAAAACAAAACAAAACAAAACAGAACAAAACATCGACAAAAACTTTTTTAAAAAGGAAGAGAAGCTTTTCTCAAGGCCCGCTTAGGTTAATTTCTGAAGAACCAGCATTGGTACCAACAGAACCAAGCAAACAATCCTGTGAGAGAAAAAAGGTACTCTTCGCCTCACTGAGATGCTAGCTGAGCGCACGAACTTCCTCCTCCCCAAGGCACACTTGGCCCCACAGGCCCTGCTGCCCCACGCCACCTCCTCCCCACAGGCCTTGCCGCCCCACCCCTCACCTTGGTTCAGGTAAGTGAGGCTTTCATCGTGCAGCTTGACCGCAGGGGACGTTGCAGCACACAGGATATACTGAAAGGGCGGCTGTTTGGGGTCACCGTCCAATGGAAGGATAGCGTCTTCCTCCTTGAAAATGGGTAGGGCCAACACATCACTGAAAACAAAAAATTGTACTCATTAATGACATTAAGTTGGGTCAGAAATGACATGCGACAGCAGACTGAGTAGCAAAAGTGGTTATTACCAAGGGACCTTCCTCACAACCATCACAACTAGTGATCCGACCGACCTCAGAGATGAGGAAGGGACCTATGCAGGAGTCGCCAAGAAGCCCACTGGGGGCTGGGGGTGGGGGGTTCCTCAGCGCTGCTGACAGCACACAGGGCTTTCAGAAGACAGAGGCATCGGTTTTGTCAGAGAACAAGGGAAGGGTTGGACAGGCGCAAACAGAAGAGCGCCCCTTTCCTTCTGTTAGGTGACCAGCCTCTAAGGACTCGTGGCGGCGCTGAAATCTTACACACTGTGCACATCTGCCCAAGGTACCTGGACCACCGAGTAAAAGCTGGAGGAAGTCATAATGTCCAACCACTCACTTTAAAGAGAGAGGAAGGAAGCAAGGCTCAGCGTTATTTCCTGCCTCAGGGAACAATGGGGCAGCCAGGGGACACCACAATGCACAATGCAGGGAGTCAGGAAGATCTGAGTTCAAATCCAGCTTCAGACCCTGGACAAGTTGGTTAACTCGTGTTTACCTCAGTTCCTTCATCTGTAAAATGTGGATCTCAACAGCACCTACCTCCCGGGGCTAGCATGAGGATCAAATGAGATGTTAACAGTGAAGTGCTTAGCACAGTACTTGGCACGTAGGGAAAGCTATATAACGGTTGGTTTTGTTTAGGCATGTCCGACCCTTCATGGCCCCGTGTCCGTGGGGTTTTCTTGGCAAAGGTACTGGGGCGGTTTGCCATTTCCCTCTCCGTTGCAGTAAGGCAAAGAGCGTTAGGTGGCTTGTCCAGGGTCACACAGCTAATAAATTGGATTTGAACTCAAGTCTTCCTGACTTCAGGCCCGATGCTCTATCCACTGAACCATTTAGCTGCCCCTTATGTAAATGTTAGCTATTCTCGTGAATAAGTGGCCCTGAGAGGATTCAGACCCAGGTCCTTCAATTCCAAATCCAGGATTTTCCGCACTGCCCTGCTAAGAGTCATGACCCGCCTCCAGCCCCTTTCGTTGGACGTGCTCCTTCTGCTGGGCTTCCGAAGCCTCGCTCCTGACTGCCCTCTACTGCACCTTTGCCTGGAAGCTCACTCCGCCTCTGACCCACTCAAGCTGGAAGTTCCCCCCTTGCCCGCGCCTGCTGGATCTTCCCACAACCTCCACTTGAGGAAAAGAAGCCCTGGCCAACCATGTTTTCTTGTTGACTGCTGCTGAATGCCACCTGCCTTATGTGAAAAGTCACCAGCCTCCCTGTCTCTACCCCCTCCCCCCATGCAGGACCTTCCTGCTAAGTGTCCAAAATTCTTGGGTGGGTGTGGATTGTGGCTACCAGGCCCTTCAGGGCCATCTTCTGGAGGCTTCCAGTAATGTTCTGTTCCAGGGAGGTAACCAGCCAGATAGCCTTGCCCTGTGGAAATCTATGAATCAGAATGATAGTAAAAAGCATCTGACCTACACCAAATCAAGAACGCTTCTAGGAAGAAGTGGAGGATGAGTTCTGGAACCAGAACAAAAGCTGGTATAAAGGGACAAACTTCAACCCAAGTTATTCTTTTTAAATTTCTTCCTCTGGGCAATAGAGCATGAGGACTAATCAAAAGCACTATTAAATACAGAGGCACCTAATAAAAAGCATTTAACTACCAAAAAGAAAAGCAAACCAAACTGGAAAAACAGATAGTATAATCAGTTAACAGCAGACCTTAATGTATGCCTTTCAGACCCAGAAAAACCCAATCAAGAGACAAACAAGAAAGAAGTTAAGGACCTGAACAGAATTTTAAAAAATGACAGATGATAGATGTCTGGAGACTGCTGATTGAGAAAAGATAGCTGTATATGACACCTTTATAAAAACTAACCATAAAGACCTCACAAAAAAAAAAAAAGTAGAAAACCAGACCTACTGAGCACATCATTTACTGACTGTAATGTGATAAAAGCATTTTAAAGAAAGAATCCAAAAGAAATTAGAGACTAAATAACAATTCTTAAAAACTGGTAGGCCAAAAAATAAGTAAGTCACGTAAATAACTAAAAATGACAGCAATGAGACAATATACGCCAAACCTTATGAAATACACCTAAAGCACTTCGGAAGGGAAATTATACCTCTAACTACTTTTGACACAAGACATGAACAAAGTAATGAATTAACTTCACAACTTTAAAAAATTGAGCAAATAAAAAATCCCCAACTGAATAACAGAAATCCTGAAAATTAAAGAGATGAATAAAATTGAAAGCAAAAAGATCAAGAAAATCCTTAGAACCTATCTTGCTCAATCATATGCTAACAAAACTGAGAGCTTAAAGGAAATAATGAAAGTGGCAGTGAGGTGGCAGGAGGAAGTTAGGTGGTTCAATGTATAGAGCACTAGGCCTGGAGTCAGGAAGACTTGAATTCATACTCAGCCTCAGACACTTAACTAGCTATAGGACCCTATATCTGCCTACCTCAGTTTCCCCATTTGTGAAATGAGGAAAACAGTACTTACCTCTCGAGGTTGTTTTCAGGATCCAATGAGTAACATTTGTAAAGCACCTGGCACATAGTAGGCACTTAATAAATGTGTGTTCCCTTCCTTCTCATTCATTACCATCACTACTGGTTACATAAAGCTAGAAATGCTCTAGCAGCAAGAAGAGAAATTGAGGGAATAAACAACAGGCAAAGAGAAAACAATTCTCACTTCCTCTAAAAGATAAGATGAGGAGCTTATTGCTATTCAATCAGTTTTAGTCATGCCTGTCTCTGTGACCCAATTTGGGGTTTTCTTTGCGGAGATACTGGAGAGGTTTGCCTTTTCCTTCTCCAGCTTATGTTACAGGTGAAGAAACTGAGGCAAATAGGGGAAAGTTGAGTTGCCCAGGGTCACGCAGTACTAAGTGTCTGAGGTTGGATTTGAATTCAGGAAGATGAAAGCCTGGTGCTCTGTGCACTATGGTGCCCCCTAGCTGTCCTAAGTACATCCTAAGATGTACTTCCAGAACCCTAGAGAGTCAACTAAAAATCGCTACTTTAATTATAACATTGATTAACTCCAGCAAAGTTGAAAGATACGAAACAAGTCAGCATTCCTTCACATAATCAACAAAACCCAGTATGAAGAGCTAGAGAGAGAAATTCTCTTCAAAATCCCTCCAAAACTTAAGATGAAAAATGCTCTCCACCTCCAGAGAAAAGTACTGATGGAACCTAAACGCAGATTGAGCATATTTCTTAATCTTTATTATTCTTGATTTTTTTTTGGTCTGTGTTTTCTTCTGCAACATGGCTAATATGAAAATGTTTTACATGGCTGCATAGTCATAATATTCTATACCCAACTGTTTGGAATTTGGACCTCAAAATTTAAAAAAAAAAATGTAAAGAAAAAATTTGTTTATACGTAATTGAGAGAAAAAATTAAATGTTTGTTTAAAAAAAATCACTCAAAAGAGAGGAAATTACTTGCAACTATCTTTGAAGATTCTACGAAGGGACTATAAATTTAACCATAAAAAATACATACAGAAATAGACCTAAGTTAGAGACACAGTAAATGCTCTTGACTGTAACAGAGCAAGTCAACAGAGTACCCCCCAAAGTCTCAGTGTAATACTAAACCATCAGAGCTTTAACAGGTAAAAACCGCACTTTTTAGATATTTGCATAATAAAACAACAGTACAACCCAAAACAATCTCTATACCAATCAAACTCCCAAAAGAAACCAATCTAAACAAAATTCCTATGGAGGAATCAAGGTCAAAAATTCATGGCAAAAAGTAGGAAGCAAAGGATCTGTCAGAATCAGATCTCAAAATGTACCACAAAGCAGCAATCATTAAAATGATTTATTAGTGGCTTCAAGAGAAGCCTCGGTAGTGTCCTTTCTGGGGATGTTCACATAGAGGATGAGGCTGACCTGACCCGACCCGACCCGACCCGACCCGACCCATGCACTGCCAGAGCTAGCTCAGTGTCTGGGAGGCTCCAAAGGAAAGTGTGGGAGAGAAGAGGTATTGTATTAGATCGCCTCCCAAACTGGAGGTCTACAGAGCCGTGCGCTGACCTCCCCCTCGTATGCCTGTGAAACCCCGGGCAGTCTAGCAGCGCCACGCCAGGAAACGGCATCGCTTCCATCTGAATCGTCTTGGGAAGGCTCTGAAGATCACCTGGCAGGAGAAGGTGCCAGACTCTGAGGCCCTTTCTGGAGCTAAACCGCCAGGCATTCAAACTCTACTGCAGAGAGCCCCCGCCGTGACGGGCTGGCCACACTGTTCGAATGCAAAACGTACCCCTGCCTAAAAGACGATTTTATGGAGAGCTCCCGCAGAGCACTCGGAAGGGATGCGAGGACGCTCTCAAGGTCTCCCTTAAGGACTTTGGAATCGATCGTGTGACACGGGAGATGCTGGCACCCGACAGCTCGGCATGGCGTGCCACATCAGAGAAGGGGCTGCACTCTGTGAGCGCAGCAGAACGGAGGCAGCTAACTCGGAGAATCCACCCCCAAGGTTCACTCGGACCCTCCGACCCGACCCGACCCGTGGCAGAGCACTGCCAGCTCGAGCGGGTCCCACACACTAAAACCTGACTCTAGCACGGTGATGTCACCCTTACTGTGTGCCAGACACTCCCCTCCCCGCAGGGAGCTCACAACCTGCAGCAGGAGACAAGAAGCGAACACACAGTGCATACAAAACAACTGCTAAGCAAAGCCCCCGACTCCAAATAAAGAGGGGTCAGGGAAGGCTTCAGTGAGGAGGTCTGGGGGAAAGGCCCCCGGCAGGCAGCTCGCAGGGAGGGAGGGGCGCTGCAGGCGAGGAGACAGCCCGAGAAGATGCCTGCAGCCAAGATGGCAGGGCACTGCAGAGAAGGGGAGGGGGCGGGGAGGGAGGGTTTTGTGTCTGATCGCCGACGGACTGGCTGGGGAGAGGGGGGGCGGCTCCTCGCCCGCCCAGCAGCTACTGCCGCAGTCCGGGCTGACGAGATGACAGACTGCAGCAGAGGGGGGAGGGGCGGCGAGCCTGTCTGCAGAGAGATGAGGTCGAACGGCTCGAATGTGGGGGGAGGGAGGGAGGGAGGGAGGGAGGAGAGCGGGGGACCCGGATGAAGGTGATGTATTCTGCTGCAGTGGGAGAGGGGAGGGGGAGCGTGTGGCGGCGGGAACGCGCTTTGCAGCATCTAAGATCTAAGATGTCTGCCAAGCTCAGGCTGCGGCCCCGCACATCGATCCGGCCATCGATCCGATCGCCCCACGGGGCCAGTGATGCGACCCCCCCCAGCAGGGGGGCCGGGGCCGGCTCCGGGCGCCAGCGCAGGGGCGGGGGCCCAGGCTGCGCCTCCGGCTCCGCAGTCCGCCGCCGCAGACCTCCGCAGGCGCCCCGCCCCCCACTCTGCGCCAGCGGGGGGAGGGGCGCGCGGACTGCGCGGCCGCGGCCCCCCCCCCC